GATGTATGGATGGATGATGGGTGGATAATCTAATCACATTCAGAAGGTCTAAATCCTTCCGGCTCATGTTTAACAGGAAACCAGCTGCAGGCTCGGTTCTGGGTTCTGGGTTCGTGCTGTATTGATCTGTACTTGTTACTGTTTTGGTTCTGGTTCTGTTTCTAAGCGCCTTCCTGCTCGCAGTGCAGCAACAGGCTCCTCCTCTCCGGGGGAAGGTCTCTGTCTGACTGAGTCCAGCAGTAAAACTTTTCTCCGTTCACCTCCAGCTGCTTCACTTCTAGTCGTTCTGCGCCACCATGTCCGGAGTCGCCTCCACTCTGGCCAAACAGCGGGCCTTGGCCGCGGGGTTCGGCAGCAACTCCAACGCGGTTCCGTACCTGAATCAGAACTTTGAGGCCCTGCGCTCTCAGTGCCGCTCCTCCGGGCAGCTGTTCTGCGACCCCACCTTCCCGGCCGAACCAGAATCTCTTGGCTTTAAGGAATTGGGTCGAAACTCATTCAAGACCCGCGGAGTCATTTGGAAGAGACCGACGGTAAGATCCGAGTCAGAAACGGGTCAGATGAGGGATTTAGGGTGGTGGGTGTGGCCGACCCCGCCCTGCAGGAAAAAAAAAAAAAAAAATCTGTGATTTGCAAATGGTTCGGGTTTGGGTTTGGGTTCGGGTTTAGTTCTGTCTGGAGAAAACTGGTGGAACACCAGATTTTAGTGGGTTTTCTATAAAACGGACCAGAACCTCCGACAGAGTTTAAACAGGAAGTCAGACAGATGCAGAACATCTGGGCCATGCAGGCCAGAACCCTGTCAGCTGGGGATGGAGCCGGGTCAAACCCAGAACTCTGGGTCAGTGAGACACTCAGTGAAAACAAATGAACCATCTGAAGATGTTGGGGTTTCTGATCCAGAACTTTTTAGGTGAGACTTTGTGAGGCGCTCAAATATTTCAGGGGTTTAAATCTCTTTGAAAAGATAGAAACAGAAAAAAACCTGCAGAAGTTCTGGTTCTGCTGCAGAGGCACCACCTGCAGGTGTCTCTCTGTGTCCAATTGACTGCTTTGATCCAGTGTTGTCCTGTTTCTCTGACTGTGACTGGCTGGATGTGCTCTCTTTGTCCTCTGGCATGGGAGCTGGTTCTGCTGGAGATTTCTTCCTGTTAAAAGGGAGTTTTTCCTCTCCACTGTCGCTACAAGCATGCTTAGTGTGAGGGAGTCAATGAGTCGATGCAATCAACTGGTTTTCCTTGGATAGAAAACTTTGAATCGATTTGACTGTATGATCTGGTTGAACTGTAAAGTGCCTTGACATGTGTTGTGAATTGGCGCTATATAAACAAACTGAATTGAATTGAATTGTCTCATTCAGTCCTGTTCTCCCCTCAGGAGCTGGTCTCAAACCCGGAGTTCATCATGGGTGGCGCCACCAGGACTGACATCTGTCAGGGAGCTCTGGGTAAGTTTTACATGCTGTCCCTGAATGCAGCACAGAGATCAGAAACTCTGGGTCCCAGCAGAACCGGTCCATGATTCACTGATGGAGACAGATGAGGATATCCTGGACGGCAAAGGGCTCACAGAACCAGACACACTGCAGGAAGCACCAGGAGAGCCATGAGACGGACCAGCAGATGCTCCACAGGGGACATCTGATGTGATGCAGGTTTTAGTGGAACAGATGTTCTGGTTTTAAAGAGCAGTCTGATCAGACTTGGGCCAGGGAGATCCAGGAGGCAGCCTGCGGATGCTGATAGTTCTGTCTCTATGCTCCTGGATCCGTCCCCCCTCAGGATGTGACGTTCTACAGTGAGGTTCCTGCAGAAGCTCAGGTGTCAGCTTAGTAAAATTGTTGAGCTTCTGATCCAGACTCAGCTGCAGGCTGTGCTCTCATTGGTTGGCAGGGAGGAGCAGCACAGGAATGATTATTTTAGTTCTCAGAGGCACCATGAAAGCTAGTGCAGACAGCCAATGAGGACGCACCCTGTCACTGGACTGTGAGTCATCCCGGCACTGATAGAAACCACAACAGTGTTCCTGCTTGTGTAACTACGACGAGACGATCTGTTACCACATGCTGCATAACAAGGAATTTACTGCAGAGTGGGACCTCCCCAAAACCACGTCTTTGTGGATTGCTGTGGCCAACGGTTTAATTAGGTACAGCTCGTTAGTCTGAGGGAAGCTGGGACAAAACAAAGATGTAGACTGTTGGGAATCTGATGATTATGTTCCCAGCCTGACTCCCAGCACTCCCAGTTCTAATTCCCAGCTACATGAAGCTCTCAGACCCTGTCCGGTTTGAGCCTGTCTCTTTAAGGAGCTTCTTCTGCTCTGATTGGTCAGTAGTGATACAGCAGTTTGGGAGAAGTTCTGAGATGATTCATCATCAAAAATGCCTCCAGCTCCGTTCGCCTGGATTCTTCCTGCCCATAAAGTTAATCCGATGTTAATGGTTTTTAGTGAAGGAGCTCAACATGAAGTCTTCAGTTTAACTCTAAAACTTCAGATCTGGTGCTAATCCGTCCTCGTCAACTAGGATCTTCACAAAATACTGCAGATTTTAAACACGGCATTACTGACAGGGCGGGTCTGATGCAGAGAAAAACCCAGCTTAAAAAAGAACAAACAAACACAGAGAATAACCAGCCCACATGAAGAACAGAGAGACCCATCCAGATTGGATGCTTTAGGGTCCATTACAGACATGTGATGAGCTGGGAAAACCCAGTCAGAGCCAGAAACCAGTTGCCTTAGGACCAGTCCCAGCAGCAGCTTTCTTCCCCCTGCAGCACTTTATGCAAATATGGGGTAAACGCTTAACATCTAGACTCTCCTGAGTAGAAACCCACAGCTTAAAGTCTGTATTAAACATAAACAATTCTCTCTGAGGATTGTTCTGTTGTTTCAATTGATCATTATGAAAAGGAAGAGACAAGAGAGGGACTTTGTGTTGTAGCCGGTGTCTCCTGTAGGGGGCAGCAGTGAGATATGTGTTAACGAGTGCATCATGGGACGATGTGCGTTAATGATCGTGTCCAGTGTCTCTACTAGATCCGTACCATCACCTCATTTGAGCAACCAGAATTACATCTGGGTCACCCTGTATTGTGCTTTATGTGAAGAAAATTATAGGGATGCACGATATTGGGATTTTGGCCAATATCCGATATTTTAAAACTCATGTAGCCAATAACC